TAAGTCATGCTAAGTAAAGGTGTGGGAGGTGTGGGCAGTGATGAGGCAGGGTCACATCCTAAAGGACCTTGTGGACCTCACTTGAATGGTGGATAAACTGCAACAACTTGACAAGTCTCAAGACCTTTCTGGGGTTCCTTGATTCCCTCAGCTATAAAATGCAGGTGGGGTAGCGGGTCATCAAGGTCCTTCTACAGACTAATGGGGGACTTAAATCCTGCAGGCCTCCAGGACCTGCTCTGAGGATGCTCCTCAGCAGGCTTAGAAAGTGCTGCTGCTTTGATGGGACTAACAATTCCACTGGCTTGTGCTGAGAGCGCCCGCTCTGCTGTCAAACTATAAATGCCCCCCACAGCCTTTTCCTTTGCCTTATTCTGTTTGAATACTGGAAAGGTCTGTTACCCGAAGCCAGGCTAGACCAAGAATGGCAAGAGGAGAGCTCTGGCCGAGGAAAGGTGAATTGGAGATACCCCAAAGCTAGTGGTTACATTAGTCTTATATGGAAACCCACCCAGATGGCAACAATGTCTCATAACTGGGTAAAACAAAAGAACTTCCTTCAGGAATATAATGATATATGTTTTTGAGAATCCGGAACAAGACTCCTAATTTTGGTTCACAGATCCTAAATTAAAAGATGTCCTGGTGCATTTATTTTGAGTAGCTGGTAATTGTTCTGGTATCAGCATCTACTTCTAAACTGAATTTAGGATATTGGTGGAGAATGTCAAATACGAGGCTCTCAGCCTTGCCTTGTCTCTAGCTGTGGCCGGCTCCCCTCCTACCCACATGAAGAGGCCTCAGGAAGGCACAATTTTCCCAGCACTGCACATAACACAGGAAACCCCAGCCCCTCCCATGCTGCTAACTTCAGAAAGTCTTAGAAATCCCAGCTGAAAGGAACCGAACTTCAGTGTTCAGCACCACTCGATCCTGCACGCAAGCCTTTGTTTTAGACTCCTAAAGCCTGAAGTAGGAAGATGTAATTGGTCTGTTACTAAATCCCCCTTTCTTTCCATTTCCCCAGAATCCTGGGGAAGAGGGAGAGAAGAAAGCAGAGCATGGAGGAGAAGACGGAGCTGTGGAGGTGTCAGGAGCCTCCACCTCAGTCCTCTGACAGCATGACCCCGAGGACGAGGTGAAATTCAGCAGGGCTGTGGGGATGAACGTGGGCGGTGGCTGGCACCCGCAATCAAGATCTCCTAGGACAGTCTCCTCTTCAAATATTCTATTCTGGAACATCATTCACCTTTGGGTGGACGAGGACTCTGTCTCCCTACACCCACCTTCCTCTGTGACTAGCCGGTGTCCTGTCCCTGTGTGAGAACAGGACGCCCAGGGCCAGGCTTGGTCATTGCAAGTCCTTCTCTGGCAGCATCCAGGCAGAGGCCTGAATGGACCTGCTAGGGAACCACTTTTGCTATCAGAGGCATTGTCCTGAGAGGCCAGAGAGGTAATGGCACTCAGCGCGGACTCCTGAATCACACTGCTCAGGTTCAAAATCCAGCCTGCCTCTACCAGGTGTGTGATCTTGGGCACATTACTCAGCAGCTCTGTTTTTCAGTTTCCCTGCCTGGGAAGACTGTGCTGAGGATTAAAAAGGATTAAATATGTTGACACATGTAAAAAATGTGCAGGACAGTGCTTGGCACATGGCACGTCTCATATTGAGTGCTGGCTATGGAGGATTCACAGAATCGCAGTTTTAGATCTCAGCATCTCTGAATTCGGGGGCTAACCCACGGATAAGAGGATGACACCAGGATAAGAAGCTGAGTCGAATACGTCATTTTACAGATGAGAAGGTAAAGGCTCAGAGAGTTGGAGGGGGCTGACCACCTGCGGCAGAGTGAGGCAGGACAGTGGGTTTGCAGGAGGAACCTAGGCTCTGAACTCCCTCCCACTGCATCCCTGAGCCAATATGACCACAAACCTTTTAGTCAGTTTCTAGTTTGACTACTTCACTATCTCAGTGGTTTACTGAATTTGGTCTCTGAGATTATCTGGTTGATCGGGGGAAGCAGTTTCAATATAAGATGGCCAAAGTTTAATAGCTATAATTAAACTATTATATGTAGAACTATTCATGTGCGTAGATGAATTTTCTAGATCATGGATGCAGTACAAAAAAAGCTTGGGCCAACATTCAGTCTTTCCTCTTTTTGGGGGTGGGGTGGGGGTGGGAGGTGGGTGGGAGTCCTGACAGAAGCATTAAAGGTGGTCATACTTTGATGACATGATCAGTCCTTGGAGCTGACAGCTGTGCTTTATTTGCACCACACACGTTTGGAAGTTCTCTGATTCGGGGGCAGCACTGAGATGGACTGTGTGGCTGCACCTGTGGGAATCTGTAGGTGTGGTAGAAGCTGAATGGACAGCTGCTTTCAGCCACTTAGGTTTGACCTTTTTTTCCTGTCATTTCGAGTTCCATAGGCATTCAATTGGTAGCTGTTTGCATGCAAAGGAAATAGGATAACTGAGTAGTTACAAAATAACTCCTTTAACATTGATCTTGATAGAATCCCAGCAGAGGAAAGGAAAATTTTAGCAGCAAGAACAATCCTTTTAAATAGTAAATCAGATCACGTTACTCTGTCGCAAGATGTGGTGATGGTTCTCCAGTTCTTCCACCAGCTACAAGGCCCTGTGTGGCCTGGCCTCTGCATCCTGAGTGCCTCTCTCCTTCACTCAGTCAGCTCCAACCACAGTGTTCTTTCTACAGACCCTCAACCATGGCACCTCGTCACACTGGGCACTGGCAAAGGCTGTTACCTCTGCCCAGAGAACCACATGGCCAGTTGTCACCTCCTGCAAGTCTCTGCTCAGATCTTACCTTCCCATTAAGAACCCCACGTGGTTCTGCAGCCTGATGTACCCGGCCATCCCCCGACAGTCCCTCTCCTCAGCTCTGCTTTCTCCTTTCCTCCCTAACATCTATCACTTTCTAACTTACTTTGTGATTTGCTTATTTATGATCCTTATCACTCACTGTCTCCTTGCCATTAGAATGTGAGTTCCAGGAAGGCAGAGTCTTGTCTGTCTTGTTCTCAGGTGAACTCCCAATGCCTGGCACACAGAAGGACCCGACCCATACTTGTCGAATGAATGAGAAACTTGCTGAAGTGCTAGTAGGATGACAACTTCCAATGAGACTTTGTCTGCCTGAGTCATAAATGGCCTCCTTTGTAGAACCTCTTTCTCTGTCCACAGTATGAGCTGCCTTTATCTCACTGTCAGAACGCCTCCCTCCCCAGACCCAGGTGTGGTTTGGTGTCTTTCCCTTGGACTTGGGGCAAGGCTGAAGTGCACTTCCCCATGGTCACTGCCCTTGCCACAGCTCTCGGGCATGGGCGTGGGGCCCCCATGGACCCTGAGCTCAGCTCTTCTCTCTTTGTCTGCACAGGAAGAGGCGTGGAGCTCTGACTTCTCGGCTGTTGGCATGGGCTTTCATAGCAACTTAGCAACTGACACTCGGCCACCCTGGCTAAGTTGGAACACCATTACCACTGCTCCCTCTGGGAAGCTGGGGCTCTTGTGTCTATAAAGCTGGGGGCCCAACAGGGAGGGGTTCATTCTGCAACAGAGCTGGAGAGTCTCCAGCAGACATGTGCTGAGGATCGAGCTCTGACCTTCCGACTCTCCCACGGCTTGCCAGCACCTCCACCACAGGTGGGTGGGGGTGAAACTCAAGTCTTTTGGCAGCCTGGCTCATCTGGAGCTCCGGTGAAAGATGGTGAAACCAGGGGTGAAACTCAGGATAGAGAAGCATTTCTGGATTTCATCTATCCCTCCTATCTCTAACTCCATTACTGCAAATAAATGAGATGGCTACAAAATAGGGCTCGCAAGGGAAGATAAAAGGAGTCACGTATTTCATAAAATAGAGGGAAGACTTTTTTCTTTTGGTCTTGCCCACCAACTCCTGTGTCCATGATCTCATCTCCAAAGACCTGAGGTTTTAATAGCCCATAATTATTTAATCATTCCAGTTCTGCTGTTTGTTCTCAGCTTTAAGTGCCAGATAAACATGTTTATTAAAAAGACAGCCTAAATTCGTAGAAAAACCGAAACAGTTTGAGAATTTCTTAATAGTAATTCCTGTCTCACAATGATTAAGTCACATGAAAGGAGGAAAAAGCATTGAAATACTAGAAAATGGTTTTCTTCCCAAGGTCTGTGTGTTTAGAAACTCAGACTTAAAATTTCAACCCGAATTTTCATGTTTTTGTTTTGTTTTGTTTTTGCCCTGCAAACCAAGGTGCTCCCGATGCCAGCAAGTCTCATCCAACATGTGGCCTGCTGGTGAGACTTAGCACACCATGAACCCTTCTGGGCGTTACCGAATACTTTTGAGCGGGGTGGAAACTGTTTTTGCTGTGGCTGGGGGTGCACTGTCTGGCCACGTGTTTAAGGCAGAACGGGTACAGCTGATTGGGGGGATACTTAGGGTTGGGGAGGATCAGGACAGAAAGGAGCAAGAGCAAGTGCAAGATAAAATGGCGTGAAAAAAGAGTCAAGAGGCCCAGCGCGCTGTCAATCAGCACCCAGCAAGGGGGCGTGTCTGTGGGAATGCGGAGGACTTCGCCTTGCGGGTGTACAGGAGAATTCAGGGTGGTGGCCAGGCAGGGGTGGCCAAGCCAATGAACGAGTCTAAAATCAAAGTAATACAATAAGATGGAGAACCACCTCCTAACCTTTTACTAATAAGAAATGTTAACATCAGGAGAAATTCTGAGAAGGGACAGATTTTTAAATACTGCGACATTACTTAAAGTTGAAATATGGTTCTGAGATTTCATCTAAAAAATCACTAGACAGTAAATTAAAAAATAAAACCCCCCAAAGAAACAAACAAACAGAAAGACACTGGATATAAAATAAAAATATAGAACACACACGCACAAAGACAAAGGAAGAAATATGCTTTTGGATTTAAAAAAATAATAAGAAAGAAAGAAGGAACAAACAACAAATCCCATTTCAATCCCCATAGTACATACCTTGTAGCGAGGCCTGTAAGTCTTTCATATTTTGGTCTAAAAGCTGCGAAGGAAGGAATCCTGACCCCGCCTGGGGCTTGGGGTCCAGCTCTCCCAGGGCTGCAAGTGGTGCTGGCTCCTTCAGCCGATCGTCTCCAAACACAGCCGCCCACTCTTTGCTGAAGTCACCCTCTTCCAGGGAAGAAGTGTTGAAGATCTCACTCAGCAGCAGCAGGTCATCTTTCTCAGCACCTTCCGGTTCTGGGGTCCCTGTCATTGGGCCCAGGCCAGCTGATTGAAGTAACAGCACAGAACATCACCACCCAAGGCTCAATCTCTCAGGAATAAATGCTATGGGGGCTGGGATGGGACAGACTGGAGGAGGGCTACATTTATTACAGTTAATCAAAATATAAAGTCATCTCTTTATAGTCTTTCTTAAGAGACTTCAGAATTAAATTTCTAGTCCCATGCTCCCCCATATCCTTTCCTCCAAAGCAAGTCCAGTTTCTGAGCATCATTAGAATTGCATTTAAATATTTTTCGCAAAAACTCTAGGATTTTGGTTTTCCTTTAATATAAAAGCAAATTTATCAAAAATATTTCTCAGATATGAAACAAAGCCAGGATTAAAAGCATGCTGGAGATCTTAGTTCCTTGTTTGTACAGCTTCTGGAATCTTTCCACACAGCCCTCAGTCCACATTGCCTGGGCCAGAATAGCCATGTACCATGTGGCAATCTGTCCTACCACCCAGGATGGGAAGAGAACCCTACCATGTCCTGGCCCAGGAAGAAAAGGGGGAACCCAGGCCAGGAAGGGACCAAGGAAAGAATTCTTGCTTCCTTTCTCCTTTGCTGAAACACAACGGCATGAAGCCAAGGAAAGGTGGATCTGGTCTGAGGCCAGAGGTGAGAGGATTACAAGGAAAGAGGGGCTGAGCTTTGGAGACACAGCTCTGCAGGGCTGAAACCAGCACTGGACCTTAGGAGAGCCCCAGGTCCACCCCTTCCTTGCTGTGCAACTTCAGCAAGCCCCTTAAACCCTTCTGAGCCTCTGTTTTCTCATCTACAGAGTTATAATATTAATAATGCCCACCTCAGAATGTTGTCAGTAAGAACAAACCTCAGTGTCTGTCCAGAAAGAAGACTTTCAGGAAGAGATCAATCCTTACAATATGAGCATTGACAAAATACTGAATATTGAATACAAGCAAAGAGGGAGCATTCCTATCAGAAATCCTATACCAAGACCTATGAGTTTTCTATATATTTCAAGAACCAAGGGCTAATGGTTTAATTAACTGTTGCTTTGTTGTGGTATCTAATTCCTACTTGGAAACTGTAAACATTTTTGATGTAAGTCATAAGGAGAAGAAAAAAGTCATGATTTATATATTTTTGGAGATATACTGCAATTCTAATATGGTCATATTAAATGAGATTACCAGGTGTTCCTCAAATACATAAGATATTTAACAATGAAGTTTTTTTTGTTTGTTTGTTTTGTTTTAAATAAAGCTTCTTTGGGTTGGCTTTACTGGATCTATTTTCAACCACACTTTACATAGAGATCTAAAGATTAAGGGGACTTTTGATGTGCTGAGCAGACTAGCTACAAATCAGGGAGGGGAGGAATCTAATCACTCTCATGCCACTGTGGTTTAGAAATAGTGGCAAAACATCACTTTAGTCAGACAACTGTCTAATTTAAGCATTCTTATTGTTTGTGTTATCAGAGAAATTGTCACCAAGACACAGCTTATAGGTGTTGTGGGTGAGAAGATGGGGAAAATGGCATTTTGAACAGGCTTTTGAGATGGTGCTGCAGAAGCAGGGTATTCCAGCAACCACTTAAGGCTGCACGGAGTGGGCAAGGTTGCCTACCACCAGCTCACATCTGAGTGCAGGAAGGAAGGAGCTGGCGGAAGCAGGCTTAGCTGTGTCAGGGTATGTCCATCAAGGCATGTGCTATGCATTCTTGCCTGCTCTTTCTCAATCTCAATCTCAACATCATTTTTTACATATATTGACTTCACAGATCTCTGTACTTCCTCCTTTCAGATGGGACTGGAATGCCTAAACCCTTTTTCACAGTTTACTTTCTGACCTGACTAAAACCAGATGATTGCCGAACCAAAAACCTCTTTTAACTGGAACCAATTCAAATTGATGTGTAGACTCTAGAAGAACAAATGACCTTAAATAAGCCTTGTAATGATGTGCGTTCCTCGTACAGTCACTAATACAGCTCTCTGCTAAGTCACACCCTGGGGGAAGTTTCCCTGCTGTAATCTAGATGTCCCTCCAGGGAAGATCATCATTAACATCAGCAACAACAAATAAACTTTGAGCCTTCCAAAAATAACAACAAGGGCTGGCCAGTTAGCTCAGTTGGAGCTTAGCTGGTTAGACCTTGTAACACCAATGTCAAGGGTTCAGATCCCCCTACCAGCCAGCAGCCAACCAAAAACCCAAAACCCCCAAATAACCACAGACTGTAAAAGCTCCAGCAATCTTTGTTTTTTTCCTCTTTAGGTTTTGTGCCATGGTATTTGCAGTGGACTTTGAGACTGTAAAAGCTCCAGCAATCTTTGGTTTTTTCCTGTTTAGGTTTTGTGCCCTGGTATTTGTAGTAGAGTTTGGAGGTTTTTGCTAACTTTGCATCCCCTCCCCTCTTCGTCTACAGCTTTCCCTTTGGGGAAACACCTTCTCCATGTGATACAGGGGAGATACTACTTAAGATGCCACCACCCGGGTGGATGTGTGACTGAGGCTGGCCAGAGTCGTCCTCCACTTCTCAGGCCTTGGTGACTGGCTCAGGGATGGGCACATGCCCAAGGCTTCCTGAGTTTGGAAGAAACTGAATGCAAGAGGGTCTCTCTTTCTGTGGGATTCCCAGTTCTAAAGATGAAGTTTTGAGACTTCCAGGGATAATGAAGCCATTAGATAGAGGGTAACAGCCTGAAGAGTCCTGACAAAACTGCCTAAGCCCCGGGATCCAATCTTGCCGGAAGCCAATCCACCACTGCATGTCCCCAGTGACATGGACCAATACATTCTTCATTTAAAAAACTTGTTAAAATCTAAACTATTTTGAGTAGGATTTCTATCACTTGCAACCAAAAAATTTCTGACGAATACTGTATCCTATCAAACTCAAATTTTTTAGTGACAGAAATGAGAAAAAGACCCATGGTGGATTTGATATTGTCTAGGCCTAGTTCTAAATACAGGTTTGCCTGCAACTGAGACCTATCATTATTGAATTTGGCCTATTATTTAGTGTCCTGGTTATTTAACAGTTAAAACAGGCTGCACAGTGAACATTTTATCTTTTAAGAGAACTTATTACTTAGCTAAAAGCAATGAAACTGGCACTGACTTCAACTATAAAACATGGAAACCTCCCAATTATTGCACTGATAATTAAGATGCTTGAAATGACTACACATAACCTATAAGAAAACTTAATTACCAGTAGAAAAGGACAGGTTTAGGTCTGTAACCAGACAAGTCGAGACTTGAGAAATAACACTAGTCAGTTGGCTCTTGAGAATCATGCTATCACTGTTTGTGAAAATGATTCAACTCAATTGAGAGAAAATGGGGACACACACAGAGATATGATAAGCTCTTTGAGAGAAGCCCTAGTAAGAGCTTGCAACTGAAGTCAGAGCTTCCACCCATGGAGACGGGCAAGTATTGCCACCGGGTTGTGGCACCCCATCCTGCTTTCATCTTAAGGGACGATCAAAAGTGTGGAGGTCTCGGGTGCCAAACCCATCCATGCTCCTGCAAGCCCCATTACTCCCGCGCAGGCTCCCAGGCCTCCACGTTCACCCTTATATCAGATAATCCAACCACAGATGTTACTACAAAAACAGAAGCCAGCAGACACCACATCCTCACATTCCCACCTCTCTGCCTCCAGCTCTATGAGCCTCACGCAGTCGACCCCTCTGCCTGAGATCAGCCCTCCCCGTGCCTCCCCCTTCTCCTGGGAGCCTGCTCTGTTCCCACTGCTGTTCAGCTCCAGCCAACGCTTCTTGCCCCTGGCCTCAGGAGATATGTGCACATCCCACAGCAATCAGTCTTCACCCGATACTGCTCTCCAACCCCCTCCCGCCCTTTCAAATGTCTGTTCTGGTTTCTTCATCCTTCCACAGCACACCCTCTACTTTGTCTCTATTCTTTTTCAGATGCTTGTCATTAAGTTCCTGTCCCCACCCTACACTGAAGTGGCTCTCTTGAAGGTTACAGGTGAGATCTCCATGGCCAGTTCCAGCTCCCTTTTCCTAGACGGTAGCATTTTGCACCACTGCCTCACTCTGGAAATGCTATCATCTCCTGGGAGTCCCCAGGAGGTGGCTCTCTTGGATGACCTCCTATCTCCTCGACAGTGTCCTCTCTTCTGCCTCTTCCTACTCTGGTTGTCCTTAAGGTTTATCCCAAGCCATCATATCTCACTTTCCTACTTTCTCTGTCGAAGATCTTATCTATTCTTACGGTTTCAATCTCACCCCTGAAGATTCTCAAATCTCTATCCCCAATTCCAAGTTCTTCCTTGAACTCTGATGACGAATTCCTGTCTGTGGGGCCCTTCAGGGTTTCCCATGGGTGAGGCTGCTGGCACTCCACAGAGGCACTCTCCTACCGTGTACCTTTGCTCAATCTGGCTGTGAGATGATGCACTCACTCAAAAGCCTTCAATGGCTCCCACTGACTATCAGTAAAGTAACACTCCTTACAGTGGTGCTCAGGACTCTGCAGTCAAGCCCTACTGCAGCCCCGTCAGTGACCCATCAACACTGTCATCCGGGAGGCCTACACCTCGGCAAAACTCCTGTGCCTGCTATTATTGCTCCAATGTGCTTTCCTGCCTTCCTGTCTGTGCACTTGCTGTTTTCTCCCAATGAAAAGAATCTTATTACTTTGATTATTTTTACAACCAAATGGGATCTTAAAGGTCATCTTCTCTAACTCATTTTACAGATGAGGAGAAAGACACTCAGGTTACATGACCTGCCCAGTGTCATATAATTTATTAGTTACAGATAAGCTGGCTGGGGACCCCTGATTCACGGGTCGGTGTTATTTCACGGTGACACCCTGCTTTTACTTTAGAACCTATTAAAGATCTCATATATAAATGAATATTTAAGCTTCTGTAAAGTGCTAAGGGTCTCTAAGGTCGGATGGCTCCACTGGCAGCCAGGCACCATATGCATGCCACCACAGAATGGCCGAGATGGCAGCTCCACTCAGCATGTTTTCCCTGCACTGCCCAGGGCTTCAAAAATACAAACCCCACGCCTCTGGGAAAAATTCCCCAGGAGAACTGATCCTGAACCGATGAGCTCTATGTGTGTGAAAACTCACATACAGAGGACGCTCTCTTAAGTTCAGACAGAGTGTGGGAAACTGGAACGGCTCTCTCAGGTAGTACTTTTGAAATCATACTGAGTTTCACGACCTCAGCATAAATTAGGAACACAGAAAATGGAAACATAACTACATAGACCGAAAATAAGAGCACAGGAAAATAGATAAATGTCACTCACTTTACCTTCATCTGTGTGTGAAACAGGAAGACTCCGTTTCTCTGGTTTTCTCCCTTGTCCCCACTCTCGACATTATGACTAATCATAAAGGCCACACACTTGCAATACAGATGAAAAACCCCAAACACCAACACTATCCTCACATCACCCAAAAGAGTGTAGGGGGGAAAGACGGGTAGGAAACCACCTTACCAAAACGTCTAACAAGAAAAAATAGTCTTCATTATGAAGGACTCTGGTGACAAACTGTATTTGTTTGCAAGTCAAGAATACTGCTTCTAAAAATTCTTCTCTGGTGAAAAAAGATTGTGGACTATAATAGATGGGAGAAAAGCCATCCCTGCCCACTCCTGAAGGAGAACAAACAAACAAAAACCAAAAACACAAACCAACAGTGCTAGACCCTGGTAGGCACTCAGACAATACCTGTCGATGGTCCCCAAGCCTGCGCCTCTGTTTCAGTATTAGATCTTTAGCAGCCAAGTAATCTTAGTAAAAAACATAAAACCTGGGGCAGAGGTATTCATAGAATCCTTATAAAAATCTTTGTAGGGGTAAATCTATATAGAGCATTACTGACTACAAGGTAATCAAGTAAGAACAGTATTTGGCTTTAAAAATGTACCATCATTTTTTTGAAAGGATGAAAGCCAGCAGTAGATCCCAGGACACTGGGGAAGACAGGGAGGAGGAAGGCAGAGGAGGGGAAGTTTATGAGAAAGATAACGAGCTTAGTACTTGGCACGTTGTATGTGAAGAGGCAGTCAGATCCCTAGTTAGCAATATACGGATAACTGCAGGACACAGTTCTGCATGACTCAGGAGAAACTGGGCACTGAGAGATAAACACACATTATTGCTACGGGCTAAAGGTTCTTGCCCAAACCTATGGCAGCTACCGAATGAGCTGTCTTCCTGATGCGTGGCCAGAATTCAGAATCACAGGCTGGGAGTAGTAACCAAAGCAGCAGCAGAAGACAAAGATTTTAGTTATAATATGGACAATTAAAATGTTTTAAAATTGGCTCAGTTAGGCTTGTCCTAGAGAGGAATCTTTTGGATAAGGCTGAGTTATGAGATCTAAGTGAGTTGAATTCATCGAACCCCCTTCTGCTTTATACCATCACTTCTTTGTTCAGTTACCTGTTAGTTATTTTTCTTGGCCTAACTTTGAGGAAAACAGAGACTTCTACATGTTATAACTCATGAATTGAGGTCAGATTGTCACATGTCGTAAGAAAATTTGAGAGCCACTTTCAAGTATCTCAAAATGTCACTAAGTTTCTTTTTCACTTAAAACATTTTTTATAAACTGTGGTCAAATATGGGTTTTTCCATTACATTATCTATTTAGTAGGAGAAAGCAAATTGCATTATGACACGGAAATCAGAGTGATTTTCTGGCAATGGCTCTTTGAGAATCGTAGCTATTGTCATAAGTGGTCTGCTTTCTGATAACATTGTACTGCAGCTTAGACATTACTTGTCTAACAGAATTACCACTGGGAGTGAACTGGCCCCCAAGCAGCAGGGTGCTAGAGCTTACAGCCTCCAAGTCCTATAAAGTCAGCCACCCCTGCATAGAGCTCTTTTTATTTCTTGACTGTTTAATGTCTTGCATATTATAATCAGCATTTTAATTCAGGATTTGGGCCTTCCGGCACTTTTCCAAAGGGCACACATTTTGAAGTCAACAAATTAATGAGTGTTCTTTTCTTCAGTCACCCACGATCTCTGAGCACTGAGAGAATATTTTTACACTAGTGATCATGTTAATATTTAAGCCAATGCTACCCTATGGGTCGACAACACAGAAGAGGCAGATAGCAAGAAAGCACCGCTTGTGCCTAAAGAAGGGCTTTGTCGTGGTGGCAGTGATAAAGGGAAATGAGGAATTATGTGACATGGCATTTAACTGAGAAAATTTGAAAGTCAATATTTCTCCCTGAGAACAAGTACAGATTTTAGCTAAGAGCACATTCATATCTCTATCTTTAGAATTAAATTGTGTACTCCAAAAAGGGATAGGAGCTGCTATTCTTTGAAACTAAAATGATCGTAACTGTAAACCAACGAGGTAGGGAAGTTGTTTTAACTAAGCAGAAGGATATCAGTCTTATTCCAGTGTATCTCAGCACATGCTTTTGAGGAAGCTTATGAAAGTCTCTCAGGCAGTATAGTATTTCTAATTTAACTCTGTGAAGAAAAGCATAGCCACTGGGTTAGTGTTATGCCATTACTACCAAGTTAAAAAAATCAAAATCTAAAGCCAGAACCTTTTCTTTGTATGTGAGAAGGGGGTAAACATGAGAGCATCACCTCATATTTGCTGTGTCTGTGAAAAGAAACACTGGAAGAACACACTGGGGGTGGGAATACTGAACAGGGAGGGGCTGGGGAACAGGAATGGGAGTGAGAGATTTTTTTACCATATACTTAGAAAATTTTATAAGAATTTTTTATTGTGATAAAACATATATATAACATAAGAATGTCCATTTTAAGCATTTTAAAACATCCAATTGCGTGGAATTAATTACATTCACAATGCTGTGTAACGACTACCTCTATCTATTTCCAAAATTTTACTATATACGTTTTTATTAAATAAAGAGCAAATTACATAAACAAGATGTTGGGAACTGGAGGAATAACTATCAAAATAAGTTGAAGCACATGTATGATCATAAATATGTTTGTTAAATGTTAAGATTTACTGAAACTGGCTGGTGGGTACCTAGGGCTCATTAGATTATTGTCTTTATTTCATTTTTTTATGATTAAAATATTTTCCCCCCTACAAAAAATAATAATTTTTTTTTTGCAGCTGGCTGGTATGGGGATCTGAACCCATGACCTTGGTCTTATAAAGCTGTGGTCTAACTGGTCAGCCCACCAAAAAATAGTTTGTGAAAAACACTTTTATTCTATCAAAATATTCCCTTCTTAAGCCAAGGGGGAAACATTTTTAGGAAAATGGAGGTTGTGTGTGGCAATCTACATTAACTGCTTGCTTATTACTTTCATTACCTAGTATGATTTCAGTACTTACAAATGACTCGTCATTTTGGTAAAATATGCATGAAAGTTCACAAAATGTGAGGATGCTTCAAAAATGTCACAAATAGAATTAAATGAAAATATGAATCCTTCCATGAACTTTTTGAAGTACCCCTGTATTGCCCAGTATGCTGCCTTCAGTAAAACAGTAACAAGGAAAGCAGATTTATTTCTACCCTCAAGTCTGTATTATTCCTAAGCACTGGAAACTTAATGGCAGAGTTGTGGTGCCTTTCCAGTTTTAAACACTTTAACCAATGTCTTCTGTTTTCCAGAGACTTTCTTTTTCTCATACTCCATGAATTAACTCCACATCAAGCTCAGATGTAGGGGCCTGCAGAATGTACTTGGCCAATTTCTAGACCTGTAAGAAACTTGTAAGACCAGGGCAGACTATGTGCCAGCCACCAGGGCATGGAATGCTCGAGAGTTTGGCTCAGAATCTCAGCGGTATTTCAGACTTGTGGTAAATCATTAAAAGGAAACCTTTGGTAGCAAAGGCTATGATCAGGCTGAACACACTCTTGGGATCACTTGACACTATACATGTGTCATCCAAACCCATGGTTCCAGATTCTCTTTTCGGAGGTTAGTTAGTAAGAGACCTTAGGTCTGGTGGACTTGGGCATAGGACGTAGCCAGGTAAACTCTCTGCTTGCATTTATCTAAGGCTCAATGGAGATGCAGTACAGTAAACCATCGGACATCATTCTTAGTCCTATCTCAACTGTCAACCATTTGAACAGTGTCCCTGTGTCAGAGACCATGAAATACCCTTTATGTACATTATCTCCAATCCTGACACTAACCCAGCAAGGCCATTCCTTGCTGGTTCAATTTTACAAATGAGAACAACAGAGGCTTAGAGAGTTCAAGTGCAAAGCAAATTACTTAAGGCCATACAGGCCATTTATGGTAGAACCAGTGTTCAAAAACACATCTGCCTGATTCTGAAAGCTGTGTTTTTTCTACTGCAGCATGTGACCTTTGACAGAATAACTTTTAGCTTTAGTAGTTTGAACATTATAAGATGAATTATACTAACGATGACAGATCCACATGTACTAATTAGTGCTTGGGCATATTTAGAGTCATTTATAAAGACTGTCACCTGAAAACAATCTGCTTAGGAATGCAAAGTTATTAAAAAGATAAACATTATATTTTATTGCATGTAAAAACGGAACTAAAAATTAAATTTTAACCCAAAAGAAATGCACAAATCTTACCACCTTCCTCAGGTTTCATGTCTAGTAGTTCATCTACAGGTCCTTTAGGGGAGGGGAAAGAAAACAAATTATGAGTCAGTTTCACTTTGTAAGAAGTTTGAGTCAAATTATTAAAATTGAGTAGTACTCCTTAATCTAGATTACCTGAGCATGCGTGATGTGTAGAGCTTTTGTCTAAGGCAGATAAAATACTTTTTCCATCTTCATCTGTAACATAACATGTACAACTGATTATCACCAACTTGGCATGGTGTGCATGTAAATATACTATGGCAGTGTAAGGTAAATGCACAGCTTCAGGAAGAAATGGCATCTACAAATGCACTCATACAGAAACAGGGGTCCTCAGATTACGTTTAACTCCAGCTGTTGGCTCTCATTGAATGCTGATTTAACTGCCCTGAATCTTTGCTTTGTTTGGTAAAAAATTATATGACACCAGTCTAACAATTTTTCTTCCGCGGGCAAATGTGTGATTTAAGCAACTGACTACGAATCGATCGTGCTAATGAACTTTAGCCATATGGGCCTGGCTAAAATAATAAGGCAGATTACTAAGTGAAAGAGGCCAATCTGAAAAAGCTACGTATGATTCCAACTATATGACATTCTGGAAAAGCAAAACTTTGGAGACAGTGAAAAGATCATTGGTTGCCAAGGGTTTGGGGGGAGGAAGGGATAAACAGGTGGAGCATAGGGGATTTTTAGGGCAGTGAAACTATTTTGTATGATGCTATAATGGTAGATACATGTCATTATATATTTGTAATACCCATAAAATATACAACACCAAGAGTGAACCCTAATGTAAACTATGGACTTTGAGTGATGATGCGTCAGTGTAGGTTCATTGATTATAACAAACGTACCACTCTGGTGTGGAAGTTGATAGTGGGAGAGGTTATGCTCATGTGGGAGCAGGAGTATTTGGGAAATCTCTGTACTTTGTGCCTAATTTTGCTTTGAACCAAAAACTACTGTAAATAATAGAGTGTATTTGTGTGTGTGTGTGTGTGTGTGTGTGTGTGTATGCAATACAACAGCCTTAAAACTTAGTTTTCTCAAGTGTTCATTAGACTTTCTGCCGGTCACAGGATAAGAGACAGATGACAGTTCATTATAATGGACTCATTCTGTGTATATATAAAACAAGGTGGTTGACATTTACAATCCCAAAATAGTATGCAAAACCCACACGTGATTATACTGTACAAGGAAAGAGAAAACTTGATTCCCTCACACTGTCACAGATTGTATGGATATGTCATCTATGTAGATTTGTAACTGGCATACAAATATAATAAACTGGAGTTTACATTTTCCTACAGAACTACAATTTTTCTGTTTGATTACCTTAATTCCCACCACATTAGTGATTGGTGCTGTTGGTACACCCAGGCTGGAGGGCTTGGATCCATACAGAGAGCTCTTCTATGGCCAGCAAGACCAGGCCTGGCCTCTGCCTCTTCTCCCACTACTTGCTCCCCCTCATGCTCCAGAACATTCTTTCTCTGACCTTCACCTGGTCCTCCCGGGCTCACAGCCTTTGCCTGTGCTGTTTCCTTTGCTTTGCCAAGTCTTGCAGTAGCGCTTGGCTTAGCCAGTTCCCTGATCTTGTCAAATAAGCGAGGCCTGTCTATCCCATGCGCCCATAGCCCTGCACCTCTCCCCTGCAGCTCTCGCCAAAGGCAGAGCTGCCCAATTACTTGTCCAGCTATTAGGTTACCATCTGCTTCCCCTTTGACTGTAAGCCCCATCCTGGGACGGTCTGAATATGTGTCTGGTGTACCACAGTATGCCCAGAGCCCAGAGCCGTGCCTGGCACAGCGGCTCTCAACAAACATCTGCTGGACAAATGCACAGGCACGTGAGCACGTGAAGGCGCCTGAGCAGATGCCGAGAAGCCAGCATCGGAGGCACAAACGTGAGCTGGGCTTTTGCTGTTGTTGTTGTAGTTGTTCTGTTGAAAGGCAGATGGAAGAAAAACAAATGAAGGAGTAAAGTAGGGGAAGATTGAAGCAGGGGAAGCCAGTGGTTGGAAGAGTAGGAAGGAAGACAGAGGGAAGACGGCGGGTGAAGGAGAGGATGGAGCAGAGGGGAAGTTCTAGAATCTGCTTTGCTTCCTCCCATGTCCCGGAAAGGCTGGCACAGACAAGGACGAAGCAGGGCAGAGGTGGGTCGGTGGCTATGTCCCCGGGAGGGCCAGGCTGAACAGAGGCCTGGGGTCACTTCAGTTCTCTTCATCACCTGTACAACCTTCCCCGCACCCCTGAGGACCTTGAGTCCCGGCGAGAGGCTCAGCCTCACACCACATGGATTCTACCACAGCTTACCCCACCCTCTAGCCCTCTATGAGATGAAGAACCAGTGACAACACTGGCAGAGACAGCGGGGACAGAAGCAGCTGACACCCTTCACAGCACATGGTGTTCCCTCCAAGCTCTCACCCCTTCTCCTAACTCACCAGGCTCAGTTCACCTGAGGGATCTGGGGCCACTGACCGCAGGCTGGCCGAGCTCCTCCCCATCTGTCCCCAGCAATGACCAACACCCACCCCACAAATCATGGCAAACCGAACTCTCCCCACGTAATAATGGAATCTTACAGAAACCATCCCTACAGCCCAGACTGCAGTTAGAACTAGTAATAGCAGAAACCTTATCACCTGTTGTGAAAAGAAAGAACTTTTTTCTGGGTTTCAGTTGTGGCTGCCCCTCTGAAGAGCTGCTATTGAAGTGACTAATGATGCTGTTTTCTGCTTCAAAATATATGGCCTCTCTCAATAATGCTATAGGGTTGACACAGCTAACATTTGAACATGTAAAACTGAAACCATAGGAGGCAAATCAATATAGCCTTTTCTTCATCAGAAAAGGAGGAAGAGTTGGACAAGAAAGAAAATAAATTGGCCGTTGAGCATCAGGTAATATTTCCAAAGCAATTCTAAATAAAGATCAAAACTTACTCTTAAAACTAGAGGATTCCTTGTGCTGGTTTTCATCCTCTAATGAAATTAATCTTAAAACAAACAAACAAAAAGGTTTAGTCATCAAGTTCTGCAAATGTTATGTTTATGATACAGCCAGGTTTTCAATACAATATCTATTAGTTCACTTATAACAACACACACACACACACACACACACACACACGCATGCACGGGCAGAAAAGTCAAAGTATAGTCATTTACGTGCTACATACTTTCTGAAGAAGAAATAAATTTGCTGGCTTTCTATCCCTTTCTGTAGCATCTTAATATCTGAATATGGTTTTAGCATAAAGCACATGTTCTGTAAATATCTAGATGGGCAATTAAGGAAAACTAAGAAAGACACCTACAGCTACTACATTAAAAGACAGTAAAAAAAACCTGATGGCCAAGCATTGATTTATTCTGACTCCTGGTATTACAGGAGAGGACACCTCAGGAATTTAGCTAAATGACAGGAAGCTGAAAGCAGGATCATTTTCAAATCCAGGCTGACAGCTGCCTACTCAACTCTTACCACATCTTTAAAGACAAAAATCCATCACGGCCTGAGACACACTGGTGCCTCTGGACCCTCTAGCACTGTGGTTCACCTTTGTCTGCTATTTCTGAACAAAATTCTTGCTTTACTGTCATTGCAAATAGATACTGGGTTATACTTTTTGAGCTTTTAAAACTGAAGTACTAAAATAGTTGAGAAATCTGAAATTAATTAAAACTCATCAAGGAAATCCTAGGTAGTCCCCTTCTGAGTATAAAAACTAATGCTCTATTTTGATTGCATTAGCTTATATGGTGGGAAGAAGGTGCAGGAACTCACTCCTCTTACTACACAAGGGGCTGTGGGCAGTACCTTAACCTCTCTGAGTCTCACTCCCATCATTTTACGCCGTGGGAAATATGCCTACCTTGACTACATTGAGGGTTATCATGGAAATGACTTTACATAAATAAAGCACCCAGCATTATGCCTAGCTCATAGTAGGTGCTCACTAAATGACAGACAGCATCACTACCATTACCAGGAATAGGTTAAACTGGATGCCCCCTAAAATAGCCTATCACACTAGATTCAGATCACATTCTATAGTCTGTCCTACAGTGAAAACTTGGCTTTGTTCTGCACCGAAGAAATCGTCTAGTATTTGCTTTAAAATTAAAAAGGGCTAACACTGGCAGCAAATCTTCCCATAGGACTAAAAATATATCTGAAACTTTATTTAGAAATACAGTGAAGATATAAGCCTGTTTCACCATAAGATTGCCATCTAAATTTTTTGTGTGTGGAAAACAAATAGCAAACGGAGACAAAGTCATCTCTTCTGCTTTCCCAGGTCCACCAGCGCAGAGCAGCTGCACTCCTGCAGGCTGCTACCTTTCCACAGAAATGGACAGGGATTCACATTTAAACCTCCTTCCTCTGTATGAGATTAGGAAACACACGCCATATATCTTGAAAATTTCACCTTGGCATTTAAAATGACAAGAGGCGCCTTCTCTGTAAAGAGGCAAGAAATGGACACAGAGCAGTCACTTCCTGCACTTGAAGCTGCTTCACAGAGGAGAAAAGAGACATTCCGAATGGGAGAAAACAAAATGCCAAAACCCTACACTTCCGTATGATAACGCCTTAGTGCTGTGTGTGTTACGAAGGCAATTTCATAGGTCATCTCCATTTAGGAGAGAAAAGCCAGGGGATTTCCTGTCTAGGACAGCATCTGGTGGGGTCCAAAGGACCAGCTGGGGTCCAGAAACCAGAAAGAGCATGAAGCTGAGGCTGAGACCACAAGACAGATAGCTGGGGACATTTACCCTTTCTTGTCCCAGTCAATCCTCACAAGGGCACCCTCTCTAAGCAGCCCAGACATGGGTCTTGTACTGGGATAAGTAAGTCACAGCCCAGCAGGAATGGCCTTGATGTTAACACTTCTACTCTGAGAAGTGAGAAAGTAAGAGAGTGTCTCTGCGTCTGAGATCCTAGCTAAACTGGGTTGGCAAGGACTGAGCTAGGCAAGGACTGAGCTACCCTCACCTGTGGGAAGAGATCGTGCCAGGGGAAGTAGCCCGTGACTTACTGGCTCGGCTCCTGCACGGCTGCCTCTGCACTTTTCTGCTGGGTGATCTTCTTTTCTTCTTTCTCAACTAGTTTTTTCATAGGGTCTTGTAAGCTCTTGATCACAAGTCACAGATAACACACACACACACACACACAAAAAAAAAGAGAGAAAGAAGAAAGAAAAGAAATAAAACAAGGTCATCAATAAAAAATTCAACTGCCATAGGTCCCAGCAGCCAAACCTTGAATCAATGGCATTGAGAGGTTACCTCGAACCCATCAAGCAGACAGAAATAAAATTTTATATGGTGAAGCAACGAGGCTCTCAGACTTATCCAAGACATACTAGCTCATAAAAGAAAGTTGATTTGCCACTAGATTTATGTTTTCCCTTTTGTGATAAGTTATTCAAAAAACAGCCTTTTGGCTATTGCTAAGTTTATTTTCCACCTTCTACATGCAGCTAAGATAAACATTCTGTTCTGCTTGCAGCCCACACAGTGACACAGTAGAAGCGTCCCCCTATCCCCGCCACCAGAGATGAGACAATTTCATTTTATTTTTAGTTTTGTTTGCTATTTTGCAACTGAAAATCTGCTTTTAAAAAACAACAGAAAACAAAACCTTTTTTTGGAAAAACCAAAAATAGTGGCTTAACATTTTCTGACAACTTACCTACCATGAGTGGACAGAGCAGGTGTGTCCAAATCTTTATAGATTTTTTTTTTCCCTTTTTGTCTTTTTTTGTGACCAGCAACGGGATTGCAACCCTCAGTGTTGCACCCGTACCACGACCGGCAACGGGATCACAACCCTCGGTGTCGTGCCCGCACCGCGCTCAACCAGTGAGCGGACCAGTCTGTACATGGGATCCGAACCCTCGGCGGGAGTGCTGCCGCGCTCCCAAGAGCCGCACTCTACCGAGTGCGCCATTGGGCCGGCCCCAAATCTTTATAGATTAAAAATGGGTGAGAGTCTTTCTTTGACTCATCATTTGTTGGAGTTACTGTTCTCAAGGTTTACGGAATATGTGAGTGAAGAATTTTTAAAAAGCAAGTGCCTAGCTCTTGCTTCCTCTCGCCATGTGATCTGCTTGTACCCGCCGGCTGCCTGCCACTTTCCACCATGAGTAGAAGCAGCCTGAGGCCTGTGCCAGATGCAGCTGTCCCAGAATCGTAAGCCAAATTAAACCTCTTTTCTTTACAAAAAAAAAAGAGTAAGTGCCTAGAAACTACACTTGTGACAAAGACTTGAAAAGAAAAAGCGAAACATTTCTGTAACCATGGAATGATGAGTTATACAAAAAGGTCTATATTTCTGGCCCTAATTAAAATACAAACCGACAAATACATAAGAAGCATCTCAAGATACTTATCCTCATATTCTCAGAGCTGCTAAAATCCAAGTCCTCATCCTTTGGGCCTTTCCCCTTTTGCTTCCTATGGGTCACTTCTCTAGCATGACACACGCAGGAGGAGGCAGTCAGGTTTCATGGCCAACGCTGACTGATGACGAGCAGTGGCCGACTGGAGGGCTGGTGACGATGGGTCCAAGGCAGAGTCTCACAGAATGGAGGGGTGACTAATTTTGGAGTCTGCCATGGACACCAGATGGATACTGGGGTCAATCCCTGCACAGAGTGATTTTCCTAAAACACCCACGCTGTCATCATGCTCCCTTTTTCCTCAAGAACCTATTGTAGTTCCTTATTTTTTTCTATTTCTAGTCTAAACCTCTCCACCTGATTTTAAAGATCTTCTAAAATACGATCCTATCTTGGCTATCCCATTTCACGTGCCACTATCCTCAAACACGAGCTTTCCATTCCGTTGGGTCTGTCTCCTCACAATCTCCCACGTGCTAGCTTCTGCATCTTCACCTGAAAAAGCTCTCTCTACCTATCTGTCCACCCTCAAAAGTCCTTGGAGTCTTTTCAAAGACCAGATCAATTACCACTATTTCCTGCAAAGCTTTACTAAGCATGCCACATTCAAGAAAGTCCTTCCATCTCCAAACTACATCTATACTTTTATTAATGTCTCATCATATCTATCCTGTATTATGTTTTGTCTCTTAAAAATATTTCTTAAATTAGAAAAATAATAGAACCACATGTAGAAAGTTTGGAAAATACAAAAAGTAAAAATTGTTCATAATTCCATTTCCCTAAAACGTTGTTATATTTTCATATATTTAAGTATTTTTTGCATTTACTACTTATATAATTGGAATCATTGTATATATGAGGGGTCTTCAAAAAGCTCATGGAAAGATTTGCATTATCTTTTAATTCCATTTTTCCACAAACTTTTTGAAGAACCCTTTGTGTGTGTGTGTGTGTGTGTGTGTGTGTGTATTATAGACAGTACATGTCCTCTTAACCAGTATACTTAATTTGTGTAGGCATTTCATAATCAAAAAAGACAATATTTTAAAAATTGTAAATATCTTAAACATTTAATATTAAATTGAAAAATATAAATGTATATTCATTCACCAATGTTCTAATGTAGGACCAAGGTCTTCTCTTTGAGTACGAGTCCCTTGATTGGATTCTGAAGCAGTTTCTTGCATAAAGCACATCCATAAGGAACTGCCATCTTTATTAATGACTTCCTTTTTTTGTTGTTTATATATTTATTAGCATATTCATTGTTACAAATCATACTTATTCTTTATGCCCCTTATCCAATCTCTCCCCTTCCCCGTCCCCCTTCCACCTCCCCCCTCCCCCCATAACCATAGATTTGTTCTCTCCGTCTGATAGATTAACTGTTCCTCTGTTGGTTTGTTGCCTAGATGACCTGTCCAGTACTGAGACAGGTGTGATCAAGTCCTCCCCTATTATCATAAATCAGATGCTCTTCTATTAGTCTGGAGTGTGCTTTGTGGAGGGAGAGAGAGGATCTCTTCCTTTTTTTTTTTTGGTCTCCACTGGTGCCTCTCCTTCTGTCAATGCAGTTGAGAGTCTGGTGTGCCATCTACATGGTGGCTGTAACTGCTGCTATAGAGACTAGCCACTTTTGTGGCAGCCATGGCAATTGCAGTGGCTATGGAGGGCTACCCGTGTGAAAATGGTGTTTTTGGTGTGCTCTTTATCTGGCCGTGGCTGGGTTTGGCTTCCCCTGGCTCCATGCCTCTTTCTAAGATGTTGTTGCAGAGCATTTGTGGGGAGAACGAAAAGAGAAGGGGTAGGGGAAATAGGGTGGGAAGAGGGGGAAGGGAGGGAGCATAATTGAGGCCCATGGCCCCCCCCATCTTGGCAGGGGAGAGCAGGGGGCTTCCAACAGCAGCTGGGTTGTTGCTGGACTGGTTGCAGATGTTGGGGTGTGTGACTGAGGCCCTTGGCCCCCCAGCACCCTGGCTTGGGAGCCTGGAGAGCTTCCTGTGGCGGCTTGATGGTTGTTGCTGGGCTGGTTGTGGATGTCGGGGTGGGGGGCTCAGCTGAGGCCCTCGGCCCTCCCCTCCCTGGCTTGGGAGCCCAGGGGGCTTCCAGTCCTTCTAGGTTTTATAGGTATTCTTTGGTGGTGTTAGATCTTTACTAGTTAATATTAGACTTAGTCTCTGATCTGTGGGTATTTTGTTTTGTCTTTCAGTTCTGTGTTGGATTATTTGCTGTTCCCACCACTTAAACTCTACACTGGAACTAATTTGTTATCCTTTGCTTACTTCTCAAATAGAGGAACTTCCTGTGGAGACCAGCACTTGAGCCCTGTGGTTGAACTAAATTGCTTCATTGCTGCTGATTCCCTGGGGAAGGCTTTTTGTGCAGCTCAGGTTCATATGTACTTCTGGACCTCATGAGGTCTGGTAGACCCAGGTTGCATGGAAACTGGTCTTTTCAGCAAACTGCACCCCCTGCAGTTCTATATTCCCGACCAGTCTCCACTGAGTGGGTCTGTGCTGATTGGGGGGCAGATCAGCTGTCCATGCTGTGCCCCGGTGTTCCTCTGGTGGCCCATCTCCCCCACCGCCCATACTCCAAACACTTCCCATAGGACGCGCCATGAGCCAGTCCATTGCGATGACTCACCAGCCTCTGAGTGGTTCCTTTTTTCTGTTGTCTGTGGCTCCTTGCTACTATGTGGGTCCATGGGAACCCTGTTAGTAGTCTTGTTGGCCCTCTTCTCCCCTGCAGCCTACAAGCAACTTCACAGAAGGGGCACAGCTGTGGCTTTTGTCAGTTCTTGCTTCGTGTGCTCACCAGTTCCAGCTTTAAAGTGGCGGGGGCTTGAAATGGTGGGAGTGATCCTTTCTTTCTCTCATTGTGGCTTCTCCTGCCTTCATGAACTCTGTAGGTCTCTCCTCCTCTTCCCCTGAGTTCTAGAGGCCCCAGCTTGGCTGTTGTTGCTTTTTAATAGTTGTAAATTGGTTGATTTGTGGGAGAGGGTGATACTGGGGACTGTCTATTCTGCCATCTGGGACACAGCCCTGCCCTCCTGGCCTGTGCCTTGAGAAACCCTGGAGCTGCTGCCACCCCACAGGAAGGAGGGCTTTGGGTGCTGTGGACCAGTAAGGTGAGGGAGCACTGCTGGGGACATCAAGGAAGTCTGGATCAAAGGCCAGCCTGCACTGCTCTGATGCCCCCCATTTTTAATGACTTTCTATTTCTAAATGTTTAGATTAGTTCATTCAGTCAACAAATAATTTTTGAGCACCTACCAAGTGCCAGGTGCTGCTTTGGGTGCTTTGGTTATACTGGTGAACAAGTCAGACAAAATTATCAGCTAGTGATGGGTCTAGGCAGATAATTAAAATAGAGGGATAGAAAGTGATCGGATCATTACTTCAGGTAGCAGGTTGTCCTCTCTTGGAAGTGACATTTCAACTGAGAGCTAAATGACAAGGAGCCAGCCATGTGCAGCTCAGGCAGAAGAGAGGACCCTCAGTGCAAAGGCCCAAAGGTGGGAATAGCTTGGCTTGTTTCAAGAACACACAGAATGCCACTGGGGCTGGGGCTGCAGTGTAGTGACAAGAGTACAAGTCTTATGAGACTGGGACAAAGACGGCAGCAAGGGTCACGCACGGAGAACATTACTTTACCCATGTTCATCAGTGTTTAGCATTTGGCGCCATTTTGTTTCATCATATTCTTTTGTTCTTTCTGTCTCTCT